AAACCCCCCAAAAACCCATCCTCCCCCCCCCCCAACAAAAACCAAACCCCAAAAACCCATCAACCAACCAAAAACCCCACGATCAGCCAAAACCACCCCCACCCAAATCAACCAACCACCCACCACAAAGAAAAAACCCAACCCAATAAACCCCTAACCCCCCACCCACAGATAATAAAACCCCCCAACCCCAGATCGTCCAAACCCCCCAAAAAGGAAAACAATTAAAAAAAAAATTTTTTTTACAGGTTAAAAGTTAAATCATTTAAAAAACCCCCACCACCCCCCAACAACACACACTGTACACCCAGGGAGTAATGGCAAACTCGTTGCTTGAAATGGTTTTTTTGAAACTAAAACGGCAAAGGTAGTTGCCCCGGTGATGAAGCCCGTTAAAATTAAAGTTTGCGTGGTGACAACGTGGCTACCCCCGTTTTTTTTTGCCCCAACGACGTGAGCACAGATTTTGTTATAGTTTTACTGACACGGGGGGAACTCGGGAAAAAAGAATACATCTGAAAAATTGTACGGAGTACATTTGTCTTATTGAAAAAAAGCCCCTCCAAATTTCGTATAGAGGAATGTCCTGAACGGGGGAGCAGTCCATGAGGGGGGGAATCCTAAACCCTCGGGGGGAGAGGAGGAAGGAGAGGAATGGGTAAAGGAAACGTCCCCTCCCCCACACCCCCCAAATCAAGGAATCATTCATGGTACAGGAGAAAACATTAAGGAAGCCTGTTTTTTTTGTCCATGTGCCCCTGCCGACTTTTTTGCCAAAATTTACCAGAGATAAACCGAACTTCTTTTTATGTGTTATTTCTTTAAAGGGCCTAGGATAAATTAACCCTCTGTCGTAGGTCCTAGGGGTCCCCACCCCTTTTCCCGGCCCAGGAAAACCTTACCCCCTCTGTCTGTACCGGGTTTGATAAAACCTTTCCGTCTGTCTGTACCCGGGCTAGGTAACCTTAAACCCCTGTCGTACCGGGCCAGGTAACCCTTTTCGTTTTCTTTTCCGGTCCTAGGGTCCTTACCGTCTGTCTTACCGTCCCCGGGTAACCTTTCCTCTGTCTGTACCGGTCCTAGGATAACTTCCCCTTGTTTACCCGGGCCAGGGAAAACCCTTTTGTCGTCTGTAAACCGGTCCTAGGATAACCTTACCGCTTCGACCGGTCCTGAAACCTTACCCCTGTTTACCCGGGTTGAAACCTTTCGTTGTACGGTCCCCGGGGTAACCTTTCCGTCTGTACCGGGCCCGGGGAAAATTCCGTCGACCGGCCTAGGATAATCGTACCCGGGCTGGATAACCTTTTACCGTCTTACCGGTCCTAATAACCTCCGTCCGTCCAGTCCCGGGTAACTTAAAAAGCCTTTATAAACGGTCCCAGGTCCTTACCCCTGTCTGACCGGGCCCGGAAACCTTACCCTCTGTCTGAACCCGGGCCTGGGGAAACCTTTCCGTTGTCTTTTCCGGTCCTGGAAACCTTAAAACCTTGTCGGGACCGTCCTATAACCTTACCGCTGTCGTACCGGTCCTAAAAACCCTTTCCTTGTCTGTACCGGGCCCTAGGGGAACCTTACCGTCGTACCGGTCCCCGGGTAACCTTACGTCTGTACCGGGCCCTTTGGTAACCACCGTCTGACCATCCCAGGATAACCTTACCGTCTGTACATCCTAGGATAAACCTTTAAAACCCTCTGTAACCGGGGCAAGGAAAACCTTAAACCCTCTTTCCGTCCTAGGATAACCTTACCTTTTGTACCGGCCCGGATAACCTTACCGTCGACCGGTCCGGAAAACCCTTTTGTCTGTACGGTCCCCAGGAAACCTTACCCTTTTGACCGTCCTAGGTAACCCCTTTCCTCCCGTAACCTCCCAGGATAACCTACCCCCCTGAAAACCCGGTTTGGAACCTTTTCGTCTGTCTGCCGGTCCTAATAACCTTACCGTTGTTGGTACCTTTCCTAAAACCTTCCCCCCTTTCTTCCCCTAGGAAACCTTACCGTCGTAACCCGGGCCCCAGGATAACCTTACCCTTGTCTGTCCGTCCTAGGATAACCTTACCCTTGTCGTACCGGTCCCGGGAAAAATTTCCGTCTTTACCGGTCCCAGGAAACCCTTTCCGCGTCGTCCGGTCCTAGGTAACCTTTCCGTCTGTCTGTACCGGGCCCCAGGGTAAACCCTTTCCGTCTTTTGGGCCTAGGATAACCCTTACCGCTGTACCGGTCCTGGATAACTGTACCGGGTTTTGGAAACCTTCCGTCTTACCGGGCCTGGTAACCTTCCCTCCGTACCCTCCTAGATAACCTACCGTCTGTACCGGTCCTAGGGTAACCTTCCCTCTTACCGGTTTTAGGGTAACCTTTTCCGTCTGTCGTACCAGTCCTAGGTAAACCCTTTCCGTTTTCCCGGTCCTAGGTAAACCCTTTCCGCTGTACCGGTCCCCCAGGAACCCCACCTCTGTAACCCCGGGCCTAGGTAACCTTATGGTCCCGACCATCCTAGGATAACCTTCCCGTCGTCCTCTAGGATAACCTTAATCTGTACCATCCCGGGTAAAACCTTTCCGTCTGTCGTCCGGTCCAAACCCCCCCCCCCCCCCCCCCCCCCCCCCCCCCCCCCCCCTTTCCCCCCTAATACCCTTACCGTCTGTACCCCGGAAACCTAGCCTGTACCGTTAGGTAATTTTTGCTTTACCGCCCCAGGGGAAAAACCTACCCTCTGTTTTAACCCGGCCTAATAACCTTCCCCCTCTTTACCGGGCCTAGAAACCTTTTCCTCTTCCTTCGGCCCGTTTCACCCGTTTTTTGGGCCTAAAACTTAACTGCTTTAGAGGGGGTGTGTGGCTTTTCCCCTTTTTTTTCATTTTTTTGGTTGCCCTTTGGGGTGGCTGGGGGGAATAGTTTTTACTTTATTTTAAACCCCCCTTTTCCATTTCCCTTTTTCCCCCCTTAACCGGGGGGGTAAAAAACTTTTTTTTAAACATCTTGGGTTTTCCCTTTTACAGTTTTAAACATTTTTTAAGGGAACAAAAAAAGGGTTTTATTGAAAAAGAAAACAATTGCAAAAGGGGAGAAAAAAGGAATTAAGGGGGGGGGGGAAGAAGGGGGGGGGATGAAAAAAAGGGGGGGAAGGGGGGGGGTTTTTTTTGGGAGCATTAAACTGGATTTTTCGGCAAGAACATACACAGGATACTACCCTCCACAACATAACCTTCACTCCAAATCAGCCCTTGAGCCCAACAATGGCAGGAGAGTTCCACAGCCTTCCCCACCCAAATGCAGAGGCCTTTGAAGCCCCCTCCTGCTGCTCAGAGGTTATTAGCATACAGCGCCCTCTGGATGTAAAAAATGATAAGGCACGTAAAAGAGTACAAAAAGAAAGTCCTTAAGGAAAATCAAGAAACACTTTTTGCTGACTATTATAAAAATGGGAACATAAGCAACTTAATCTTCCACACAGACCATCCCCTGGCATGGTGCAGTGCTAAATTAACACACTGCCTCTCAGTTAAGAGGGGGGGGGGGGAGTGTTAGCGATGGGTGGAAACTTAGGATACTAGACAACGAGGACTCTGAGTCAGCCAATATAAATCTCTACAAGTCTGGAACAGTATTGGTACAGGGCAACCCCAAACAGTTTCAGCTGGACTTTCACCTAATCAAAGAAATAGCTCAGCAGGAGAAGCTCTCCCTTGAGAAAGATACCCCCTACCCCGAGCGGGTCAGACCAGACCTCTTCATTATATAACCCCACAGGCGAGCAACCCCAAGCGGAAAGTCAACTTCCCAGCACAGAGTACTACTCCCTCGATGAAATGAAGGATACATTCACCCAGCTGGAGGTAAGGCAGGTGGAGCTGGAACAGCAGGTGAACACACTCCAGTCAGCACAGACCCAGACAACAGTCCAGCACAACAACACCCCCTTAACTAGACCTGGAGAGCTGCAGGTGGAGAGAGACATGTCTGCACTCTGGACTGTGGTGAGACAACATCAACAGGAGAAAGAGCAGGAGCAGGAGAAGAACAGAGCACTAGAGGAGAGGATCAGAGTGCTGGAGGAGAAGGTGAGAACGATGACGGGTGACATTGAACAACCCATTAGAGAACAGCCCACCTCAGATCCTGGCCAAAGTCTCGACACCGCAGCAGAACAGTCCACCCTAGACCCTGACCATAGCCTCGACATCACACCCAGACAAACAAATGAAGAACCCCAAGCCCAGGGGACCCCAACCCCTCTGAGCAACCCCCCAGTCAGACACCCTGATAGCCCTCATGACGACCCCCCCACACCCACTGAGGACATACACAAGCCACAGATTGTACTCCTTATGGACTCAAACGGGAAATACATACGAAAATAAGAAAATAAACTTTTCCCCAAACACACAGTGTCTAAACTCTGGTGTCCAAACACCCAGCGCGCCCTAGACCTTCTGTCTGAGGACCAACTAGGATCACCCAGCCACATAATAATACACACAGGCACAAATGACCTGAGAACACAGCAGGAAAGGGTGGCCACAGCACTCAACGGAGAGACTGAAAAAGCTTCTTCTATTTTCCCCAACGCACAAGTGGCTATCTCCACCCTGCTACCACGAAGCGAAGACTTCCACCATACAGCGGGTAAACGCAAGTATTTCCCGTGACTGTGCATCAAAACCAAATGTCTACCTGGCCCACCACTCCACCCTGGACATGAACAGCCTTTACGACCAGGTCCACCTATACAAGGCAGCAGTGCCCACCTTCGCCCGGACCCTAAAGGATATCGCCCTCAACCGCGGACCCAACACCTCACACAGGAGCAACAGATCAACAGACACCCCGCCCAGACGAGCGAGACACTGTCCCAGACCAGAGAGAGAGAGAGAGAGAGAGAGAGAGAGAAAGAGAGAGACGAAGTGAGAGACGAAGTGAGAGAGGTGTAGACTTACTTGGTGGGGGGATGAGAGGTGGAGCCTGGCTGACGTTGGGAGGAGGGGGGAGGAAAGGGGGAGGAGGGATGTTAGGGGGGAGGGGGCCTGGGGGGAAGAAGGGGGGCATCTTGTTGGGGTTCTGCTCAGCGTCCGACGACGAGTGTTCCGAAATCACCTAGACAACGAAGAAACAGCCAATCACAACCAGGTATGAGTTTCAACAGCCAATGGGAATGGTTTCATTGATTTCCACGAAGGCTATGTCCTTTCACGTGTGTCCTGACCCCAGTATTACTACGATACCAGACTGAACTCCACGGTGCTTTAAAGAAACCTCCTTTATATAGAATATGGTGTGCTGTTGCTGTTGCTAAAGTGACTCTGGGTGTCGACATAAGCCTGGTTTTTAATAACATTAGGACTGTTTTCCTCAATAAATTAAAGACACGTTCCGGAAGATTTAAAACGACCTAGTTATTTTTGAAGCTCCAGTTTTGGACTTGATGTATGGCTCATTAAAAAATAGTTTTATACATGTTTTAATTTGTATGTTTAGCTCACATAAAAACACCTTCCTAATATTGAGTTGTGTGTGTACCTGGATGTTGTTCCCCTCCAGGTTGTGTGTGTGTACCTGGATGTTGTTCCCCTCCAGGTTGTGTGTGTGTGTACCTGGATGTTGTTCCCCTCCAGGTTGTGTGTGTGTGTGTGTACCTGGATGTTGTTCCCCTCCAGGTTGTGTGTGTGTGTGTACCTGGATGTTGTTCCCCTCCAGGTTGTGTGTGTGTACCTGGATGTTGTTCCCCTCTAGGTTGTGTGTGTGTGTACCTGGATGTTGTTCCCCTCCAGGTTGTGTGTGTGTGTGTGTACCTGGATGTTGTTCCCCTCCAGGTTGTGTGTGTGTGTGTGTACCTGGATGTTGTTCCCCTCCAGGTTGTGTGTGTGTGTGTGTACCTGGATGTTGTTCCCCTCCAGGTTGTGTGTGTGTGTGTACCTGGATGTTGTTCCCCTCCAGGTTGTGTGTGTGTGTGTACCTGGATGTTGTTCCCCTCCAGGTTGTGTGTGTGTGTGTGTACCTGGATGTTGTTCCCCTCCAGGTTGTGTGTGTGTGTGTGTGTACCTGGATGTTGTTCCCCTCCAGGTTGTGTGTGTGTGTGTACCTGGATGTTGTTCCCCTCCAGGTTGTGTGTGTGTGTGTACCTGGATGTTGTTCCCCTCCAGGTTGTGTGTGTGTGTGTACCTGGATGTTGTTCCCCTCCAGGTTGTGTGTGTGTGTGTACCTGGATGTTGTTCCCCTCCAGGTTGTGTGTGTGTGTGTACCTGGATGTTGTTCCCCTCCAGGTTGTGTGTGTGTGTACCTGGATGTTGTTCCCCTCCAGGTTATGTCTTCGTCTCCCCTCCACTCTGCTGATGGTAGCAGTCCCTCCTCCGATCACGTCTATGGTACCACTGGGCTTCCTGAACACACCCACACTTCCCATGTTAGTCATTGAGCAGACACTCTTATCCAGAGAGACTTACAGGAGTGGTTACATCAACAGATGTTTCACCTTGTCGGCTCTGGGATTTGAACCAGCGACCTTTCGGTTACTGGCCCAACGGCTCTTAACCGCTAGGCTACCTGCCACCTACTCACAGTCATTAAAGCTCAGTCTACAGTCTATACCCGCTACCAATTACAATACAATACACAGCCACATGACCAGATCACTACCTAACCACCACACCACACACAGATCAGTACCTAACCAGCACACCACAGATCAGTACCTAACCACCACACACAGATCAGTACCTAACCAGCACACACAGATCAGTACCTAACCACCACACCACACACAGATCGGTACCTAACCACCACACCCAGATCAGTACCTAACCAGCACACCACAGATCAGTACCTAACCAGCACACCACACACAGATCAGTACCTAACCACCACACCCAGATCAGTACCTAACCACCACACCCAGATCAGTACCTAACCACCACACCACACACAGATCAGTACCTAACCACCACACCACACACAGATCAGTACCTAACCGCCACACCCAGATCAGTACCTAACCACCACACACAGATCAGTACCTAACCACCACACCACAGATCAGTACCTAACCACCACACCCAGATCAGTACCTAACCACCACACCACACACAGATCAGTACCTAACCAGCACACCACACACAGATCAGTACCTAACCAGCACACCACAGATCGGTACCTAACCAGCACATCACACACAGATCAGTACCTAACCACCACACCCAGATCAGTACCTAACCACCACACCACACCACAGATCAGTACCTAACCAGCACACCACCAGTACCTAACCACCACACCACACACAGATCAGTACCTAACCACCACACCACACACAGATCAGTACCTAACCACCACACCACACACAGATCAGTACCTAACCACCACACCACACACAGATCAGTACCTAACCACCACACCCAGATCAGTACCTAACCACCGCACCACACACAGATCAGTACCTAACCACCGCACCACACACAGATCAGTACCTAACCGCCACACCACACACAGATCAGTACCTAACCGCCACACCACACACAGATCAGTACCTAACCACCACACCACACACAGATCAGTACCTAACCACCACACCACAGATCAGTACCTAACCACCACACCACACACAGATCAGTACCTAACCACCACACCACACACAGATCAGTACCTAACCACCACACCACACACAGATCAGTACCTGACCACCACACCACACACAGATCAGTACCTAACCACCACACCACACACATATCAGTACCTAACCACCACACCACACACAGATCAGTACCTAACCACCACACCACACACAGATCAGTACCTAACCGCCACACCACACACAGATCAGTACCTAACCACCACACCACAGATCAGTACCTAACCACCACACACAGATCAGTACCTAACCACCACACCACAGATCAGTACCTAACCACCACACCACACACAGATCAGTACCTAACCACCACACCACAGATCAGTACCTAACCACCACACACAGATCGGTACCTAACCACCACACCACAGATCAGTACCTAACCACCACACCACACACAGATCAGTACCTAACCACCACACACAGATCAGTACCTAACCACCACACCACACACAGATCAGTACCTAACCACCACACCACAGATCAGGACCTAACCGCCACACACAGATCAGTACCTAACCACCACACACAGATCAGTACCTAACCACCACACCACAGATCAGTACCTAACCACCACACACAGATCAGTACCTAACCACCACACCACAGATCAGTACCTAACCACCACACCACACACAGATCAGTACCTAACCACCACACCACACACAGATCAGTACCTAACCATCACACCACAGATCAGTACCTAACCACCACACCCCAGATCAGTACCTAACCACCACACCACAGATCAGTACCTAACCACCACACCCCAGATCAGTACCTAACCACCACACCCCAGATCAGTACCTAACCACCACACCCCAGATCAGTACCTAACCACCACACCACAGATCAGTACCTAACCACCACGCCACAGATCAGTACCTAACCACCACACCCCAGATCAGTACCTAACCACCACACCACAGATCAGTACCTAACCACCACACCACAGATCAGTACCTAACCACCACACCACAGATCAGTACCTAACCACCACACCACACACAGATCAGTACCTAACCACCACACCACAGATCAGTGACAGGACACTCATGTCAGAAAGGACAACACACAGCATTACTAGTACACATGATGTAGAATCTGTTATTACAGGTCTATAAAATGGTTATATCACCGTTCCCACACACACACACACACACACACTAGTACACACCAGATGAGTCAATGTGCATACATCTGTTGCATTGAAATGTGTTCATTGAAACTAATACGGCAAAGTGTATGTTGCCATGGTGATGAAGCCCGTTAAACTTAACGTTGCAGTGGTGACAATCGTAGGCTACCACGTTTTTGTGCCCCTAACGACGTGATGCGACTATGACGTTTTGTTACTAGTTTTACTGACTGAACGGGGGAACTCGGAAAAATGAATACATCTGAAAAATACTGTACATGGACGTATCATTTGTCTTATGTGAACAAAGCCCCATCCCACTTACGTATAGTAGGACATGTCCTGAACGGGGGGAGCAGTCCACTGAGGGGGGGAGATCCTACCATCGGAGGGGAGGAGGAGGAGGAAGGAGAGGAGGATGGGTAAAGGAAACAGTTACACCATCCCTCACACACACTCAATGGAAGTCATTCATGTGTACAGTGAGAAGACATTAAGGAAGCCTGTTTCTGTCCATGTGTGTCCACTGCCAGACTGTGTTTTGCCAAATCCTCTACCAGAGATAATACACGAGACTCTCTCTCTCTCTCATGTGTTACTGTCTCTTTACCGGTCCTAGGATAACCTTACCGTCTGTCTGTACCGGTCCTAGGATAACCTTACCGTCTGTCTGTACCGGTCCTAGGATAACCTTACCGTCTGTCTGTACCGGTCCTAGGATAACCTTACCGTCTGTCTGTACCGGTCCTAGGATAACCTTACCGTCTGTCTGTACCGGTCCTAGGATAACCTTACCGTCTGTCTGTACCGGTCCTAGGATAACCTTATCGTCTGTCTGTACCGGTCCTAGGATAACCTTACCGTCTGTCTGTACCGGTCCTAGGATAACCTTACCGTCTGTCTGTACCGTCCTAGGATAACCTTACCGTCTGTCTGTACCGGTCCTAGGATAACCTTATCGTCTGTCTGTACCGGTCCTAGGATAACCTTACCGTCTGTCTGTACCGGTCCTAGGATAACCTTACCGTCTGTCTGTACCGGTCCTAGGATAACCTTACCGTCTGTACCGGTCCTAGGATAACCTTACCGTCTGTACCGGTCCTAGGATAACCTTACCGTCTGTACCGGTCCTAGGATAATCTGTACCGGTCCTAGGATAACCTTACCGTCTGTACCGGTCCTAGGATAACCTTACCGTCCGTACCAGTCCTAGGATAACCTTACCGCCTGTCTATACCGGTCCTAGGATAACCTTACCGCCTGTCTGTACCGGTCCTAGGATAACCTTACCGTCTGTCTGTACCGGTCCTAGGATAACCTTACCGTCTGTCTGTACCGGTCCTAGGATAACCTTACCGTCTGTCTGTACCGGTCCTAGGATAACCTTACCGTCTGTCTGTACCGGTCCTAGGATAACCTTACCGTCTGTCTGTACCGGTCCTAGGATAACCTTACCGTCTGTACCGGTCCTAGGATAACCTTACCGTCTGTACCGGTCCTAGGATAACCTTACCGTCTGTACCAGTCCTAGGATAACCTTACCGTCTGTACAGGTCCTAGGATAACCTTACCGTCTGTACCGGTCCTAGGATAACCTTACCGTCTGTACCGGTCCTAGGATAACCTTACCGTCTGTACCGGTCCTAGGATAACCTTACCGTCTGTACCGGTCCTAGGATAACCTTACTGTCTGTACCGGTCCTAGGATAACCTTACCGTCTGTACCAGTCCTAGGATAACCTTACCGTCCGTCTGTACCAGTCCTAGGATAACCTTACCGCCTGTACCGGTCCTAGGATAACCTTACCGTCTGTCTGTACCGGTCCTAGGATAACCTTACCGTCTGTCTGTACCGGTCCTAGGATAACCTTACCGTCTGTCTGTACCGGTCCTAGGATAACCTTACCGTCTGTACCGGTCCTAGGATAACCTTACCGTCTGTCTGTACCGGTCCTAGGATAACCTTACCGTCTGTCTGTACCGGTCCTAGGATAACCTTACCGTCTGTACCGGTCCTAGGAAACCTTACCGTCTGTCTGTACCGGTTCCTAGGATAAACCTTACCGTCTGTCTGTACCGGTCCTAGGTAACCTTACCGTCTGGTACCGGTCCTAGGATAACCTTACCGTTCTGTCTGTACCGGTCCTAGGATAACCTTACCGTCTGTCTGTACCGGTCCTAGGATAACCTTTACGTCTGTACCAGTCCTAGGATAACCTTACCGTCTGTCTGTACCGGTCCTAGGATAACCTTACCGTCTGTACCGTCCTAGGATAACCTTACCGTCTGTACCAGTCCTAGGATAACCTTACCGTCTGTACCAGTTCCTAGGATAACCTTACCGTCTGTCTGTACCGGTCCTAGGATAACCTTACCGTCTGTACCGGTCCTAGGATAACCTTACCGTCTGTCTGTACCGGTCCTAGGATAACCTTACCGTCTGTACCGGTCCTAGGATAACCTTACCGTCTGTCTGTACCGGTCCTAGGATAACCTTACCGTCTGTCTGTACCGGTCCTAGGATAACCTTACCGTCTGTACCGGTCCTAGGATAACCTTACCGTCTGTCTGTACCGGTCCTAGGATAACCTTACCGTCTGTCTGTACCGGTCCTAGGATAACCTTACCGTCTGTACCGGTCCTAGGATAACCTTACCGTCTGTACCGGTCCTAGGATAATCTGTACCGGTCCTAGGATAACCTTACCGTCTGTACCGGTCCTAGGATAACCTTACCATCCGTACCAGTCCTAGGATAACCTTACCGTCTGTACCGGTCCTAGGATAACCTTACCGTCTTTATTACGGTCCTAGGATAACCTTACCGTCTATACCGGTCCTAGGATAACCTTACCGTCTGTCTGTACCAGTCCTAGGATAACCTTACCGTCTGTACCGGTCCTAGGATAACCTTACCGTCTGTACCGGTCCTAGGATAACCTTACCGTCTGTACCGGTCCTAGGATAACCTTACCGTCTGTCTGTACCAGTCCTAGGATAACCTTACCGTCTGTACCAGTCCTAGGATAACCTTACCGTCTGTACCAGTCCTAGGATAACCTTACCGTCTGTCTGTACCGGTCCTAGGATAACCTTACCGTCTGTACCGTCCTAGGATAACCTTACCGTCTGTACCAGTCCTAGGATAACCTTACCGTCTGTACCAGTCCTAGGATAACCTTACCGTCTGTCTGTACCGGTCCTAGGATAACCTTACCGTCTGTACCGGTCCTAGGATAACCTTACCGTCTGTCTGTACCGGTCCTAGGATAACCTTACCGTCTGTACCGGTCCTAGGATAACCTTACTGTTCTTCATCTGATGGCCTGTGTGCAGCTCTTACCTGTTAGTGTTCATGTTCATGGATGACTTGTAGAGGCTGGCTGGAGAGGGGAAGTCAGGTTTGGACGTGTGGATGGGTAAACCCACTTCCTTCTCATTCCCTGTCCTGCCCTGCTGAACCTGAGGGGGAATAGAATAGGACATCTTTAGCTTTACAACATCTTGGGTTTGACCATTTGACAGTAGTAGGCCATCTTTAAATGGATATCTTGGTTTTAAAACAGCTCTGGTTTGATCTGTTTTACACTGATTATCATATGGCAATTCAATGAGGGAGAGAGAAAGAAGGGAATTGAGAGGAGGAGAGAAGGAAGGCAATTGAGAGAAAGGGAGATCAGAAAATGAGAGAGAGAGAGAGGGGGGGGCATTGTTGGGTAAGATGTCTATTTCACCAGCCACGTTGGCGGATGGCCAGGGCTCCAGTGTGAGCATTTCACTTACATTGTGAATAAAAAGTCAAGTACGATCACATTTATAGCAAAATAAATGCTGCAGTAGCTGTTTAAGTAATTCTGCCGTTTTGTTCCATAGGACTACGAATCCCATTTCCCAACACGCGCAGCAACACTGCCTGGCTGGGGGGCTGCCTGGCTGGGGGGCTGCCTGGCTGCCTGGCTGGGGGGCTGCCTGGCTGGGGGGCTGCCTGGCTGGGAGGCTGCCTGGCTGGGAGGCTGCCTGGCTGGGGGGCTGCCTGGCTGGGGGGCTGCCTGGCTGGGGGGCTGCCTGGCTGGGAGGCTGCCTGGCTGGGAGGCTGCCTGGCTGTGGGGCTGCCTGGCTGGGAGGCTGCCTGGCTGGGAGGCTGCCTGGCTGGGAGGCTGCCTGGCTGGGGGGCTGCCTGGCTGGGAGGCTGCCTGGCTGGGGGGCTGCCTGGCTGGGAGGCTGCCTGGCTGGGGGGCTGCCTGGCTGGGGGGCTGCCTGGCTGGGAGGCTGCCTGGCTGGGGGGCTGCCTGGCTGGGGGGCTGCCTGGCTGGGGGGCTGCCTGGCTGGGAGGCTGCCTGGCTGGGGGGCTGCCTGGCTGGGGGGCTGCCTGGCTGGGGGGCTGCCTGGCTGCTGGCTGGGGGGCTGCCTGGCTGGGGGGCTGCCTGGCTGGGAGGCTGCCTGGCTGGGAGGCTGCCTGGCTGGGGGGCTGCCTGGCTGGGAGGCTGCCTGGCTGGGGGGCTGCCTGGCTGGGAGGCTGCCTGGCTGCCTGGCTGGGAGGCTGCCTGGCTGGGGGGCTGCCTGGCTGGGAGGCTGCCTGGCTGGGAGGCTGCCTGGCTGGGGGGCTGCCTGGCTGGGGGGCTGTGCGTACAGAGTGAAGTGCTAAGTGAAATATTATTTCTTAGAAGCACAGAGCATAAAAAGTATGTTACATTTACTTAAAACTAAAGTCTACTAAAGTGAGACTTTGTCCTCGTGTTTCTTGGCTATTTACTAGTGATGAAGGACAAAAAATATATATAGACAGTTACATATCGGGATATTATTTTTAATGATTATCGTATACATTTTCAAAATATCGCAATATTATTTTTTGCTGTAGTTGGTTGTACGTGCACCAAATCTCCAGTATTTTTCTTTCATAGCTTGTTCTCCATCTCCTTATTAAATAGGGAGCCAATTTGTTTTCAGGCCTTTTATATCCATGACTGATCAAAACTCTCTAATGCCTCTCTTGTCTCTCTGCAGCAAACATAAAGTGAGCAATATGTTTGGAACATCGAATCGCAATACATCATCCTGAGACTCGCAAATCGGCCCAAGTATCGTGACAATATCGTATCGTGAGGTCCCTGGCAATTCCCAGCCCTAATACACAGAACAAAAATATAAACGCAACATGTAAAGTGTTGGTCCTATGTTTCATGAGCTGAAATAAAAAGATCCTATAAATTTTCCGTGTGCACAAAAAGCTTATTTCTCTCAAATGTTGTGCACAAATTTGTTTACATCCCTGTTAGTGAGCATTTCTCCTTTGCTAAGATAATCCATCCACCTGACAGGTGTGGCTGATTAAACAGCATGATCATTACACAGGTGCACCTTGTGCAGGGGACAAAAGGCCACTCTAAAATGTGCAGTTTTGTCACACAACACAATGCCACAGATGTCTTATGTTTTGAGGGAGCATGCAATTGGCATGCTGACCGCAGCAATGTCCACCAGAGCTGTTGCCAGAGAATTGAATGTTCATTTCTCTACCATAAGCCGCCTCCAACGTTGCTTTAGAGAATTTGGCAGTGCGTCCAACCGGTCTCAGAACAGCAGACCACGTGTATGGCGTCGTGTGGGCGAGCGGTTTGTTGATATGAAGGAGATGTTGTGTCTTACAGTGATTTAGCTGGTAGTGGAGGAGATGTGTCTTACAGTGATTTAGCTGGTAGTGGAGGAGATGTTGTATCATACAGTGATTTAGCTGGTAGTGGAGGAGATGTTGTGTCTTACAGTGATTTAGCTGGTAGTGGAGGAGATGTGTCTTACAGTGATTTAGCTGGTAGTGGAGGAGATGTTGTATCATACAGTGATTTAGCTGGTAGTGGAGGAGATGTGTCTTACAGTGATTTAGCTGGTAGTGGAGGAGATGTTGTATCATACAGTGATTTAGCTGGTAGTGGAGGAGATGTGTCTTACAGTGATTTAGCTGGTAGTGGAGGAGATGTTGTGACTTACAGTGATTTAGCTGGTAGTGGAGGAGATGTTGTGTCTTACAGTGATTTAGCTGGTAGTGGAGGAGATGTTGTGTCTTACAGTGATTTAGCTGGTAGTGGAGGAGATGTTGTGTCTTAGTGATTTAGCTGGTAGTGGAGGAGATGTTGTATCATACAGTGATTTAGCTGGTAGTGGAGGAGATGTGTCTTACAGTGATTTAGCTGGTAGTGGAGGAGATGTTGTGTCTTACAGTGATTTAGCTGGTAGTGGAGGAGATGTTGTATCATACAGTGATTTAGCTGGTAGTGGAGGAGATGTGTCTTACAGTGATTTAGCTGGTAGTGGAGGAGATGTGTCTTACAGTGATTTAGCTGGTAGTGGAGGATATGTTGTGTCTTACAGTGATTTAGCTGGTAGTGGAGGAGATGTGTCTTACAGTGATTTAGCTGGTAGTGATGTTGTGTCTTACAGTGATTTAGCTGGTAGTGGAGGAGATGTTGTATCTTACAGTGATTTAGCTGGTAGTGGAGGAGATGTTGTGTCTTACAGTGATTTAGCTGGTAGTGATGTTGTATCTTACAGTGATTTAGCTGGTAGTGGAGGAGATGTTGTATCTTACAGTGATTTAGCTGGTAGTGGAGCAGATGTGTCTTACAGTGATTTAGCTGGTAGTGGAGGAGATGTTGTGTCATACAGTGATTTAGCTGGTAGTGGAGGAGATGTTGTATCTTACAGTGATTTAGCTGGTAGTGGAGGAGATGTTGTGTCATACAGTGATTTAGCTGGTAGTGGAGGAGATGTTGTGTCATACAGTGATTTAGCTGGTAGTGGAGGAGATGTTGTATCTTACAGTGATTTAGCTGGTAGTGGAGGAGAAGTTGTGTCTTACAGTGATTTAGCTGGTAGTGGAGGAGATGTTGTGTCTTAGTGATTTAGCTGGTAGTGGAGGAGATGTTGTATCATACAGTGATTTAGCTGGTAGTGGAGGAGATGTGTCTTACAGTGATTTAGCTGGTAGTGGAGGAGATGTGTCTTACAGTGATTTAGCTGGTAGTGGAGGAGATGTGTCTTACAGTGATTTAGCTGGTAGTGATGTTGTGTCTTACAGTGATTTAGCTGGTAGTGGAGGAGATGTTGTATCTTACAGTGATTTAGCTGGTAGTGGAGGAGATGTTGTGTCTTACAGTGATTTAGCTGGTAGTGATGTTGTATCTTACAGTGATTTAGCTGGTAGTGGAGGAGATGTTGTATCTTACAGTGATTTAGCTGGTAGTGGAGCAGATGTGTCTTACAGTGATATAGCTGGTAGTGGAGGAGATGTTGTGTCATACAGTGATTTAGCTGGTAGTGGAGGAGATGTTGTATCTTACAGTGATTTAGCTGGTAGTGGAGCAGATGTGTCTTACAGTGATTTAGCTGGTAGTGGAGGAGATGTGTCATACAGTGATTTAGCTGGTAGTGGAGGAGATGTTGTATCTTACAGTGATTTAGCTGGTAGTGGAGGAGATGTTGTATCTTACAGTGATTTAGCTGGTAGTGGAGGAGATGTTGTATCTTACAGTGATTTAGCTGGTAGTGGAGGAGATGTTGTATCATACAGTGATTTAGCTGGTAGTGATGTTGTATCTTACAGTGATTTAGCTGGTAGTGGAGGATATGTGTCTTACAGTGATTTAGCTGGTAGTGGAGCAGATGTCTTACAGTGATTTAGCTGGTAGTGATGTTGTATCTTACAGTGATTTAGCTGGTAGTGGAGGAGATGTTGTATCTTACAGTGATTTAGCTGGTAGTGGAGGAGATGTTGTGTCTTACAGTGATTTAGCTGGTAGTGGAGGAGATGTGTCTTACAGTGATTTAGCTGGTAGTGGAGGAGATGTTGTATCATACAGTGATTTAGCTGGTAGTGGAGGAGATGTTGTATCATACAGTGATTTAGCTGGTAGTGGAGGAGATGTGTCTTACAGTGATTTTGCTGGTAGTGGAGGAGATGTTGTATCTTACAGTGATTTAGCTGGTAGTGGAGGAGATGTTGTATCATACAGTGATTTAGCTGGTAGTGGAGGAGATGTTGTATCATACAGTGATTTAGCTGGTAGTGATGTTGTATCTTACAGTGATTTAGCTGGTAGTGGAGGATATGTGTCTTACAGTGATTTAGCTGGTAGTGGAGCAGATGTCTTACAGTGATTTAGCTGGTAGTGATGTTGCATCTTACAGTGATTTAGCTGGTAGTGGAGGAGATGTTGTATCTTACAGTGATTTAGCTGGTAGTGGAGGAGATGTTGTGTCTTACAGTGATTTAGCTGGTAGTGGAGGAGATGTGTCTTACAGTGATTTAGCTGGTAGTGGAGGAGATGTTGTATCATACAGTGATTTAGCTGGTAGTGGAGGAGATGTTGTGTCTTACAGTGATTTTGCTGGTGGTGGAGGAGATGTTGACGACCTCCAGGCCCATCCTCAGCCTCTTCTGTTTGTCACAGTAGGCCTTCCACGTGTCCTCGTTGAACCCGTAGTTAAAGTAGTCAGACAGGTCCGCACCTACACACACACACACACAGACACACACACACACACACAATTGGTTTCATTTTACAAAAGTCAGAATAACACAAACTCCTACCAAGACTCTCAGTCTAAAACCTGGACCAATCAGAAAGGTACCCCACACACACACTCAGAAACACACAGTAACACGTACCTGGTTTCCTCCAGGGTTTCTCCTCGAATGACTCCATGTCCACCTCCAGTACTGGGACTCCATTGATGTTGCCTGGGGCCTCCAGATCCACACCCTTCAACTTGTTCCCTACTAGAAAAAAACATTTATAATATATATCAGTATTAAAATATACTGAGACATTTAGTAAATCAATAAAAATAGCATCAACTACAGTTACACCGTCTAATTCCACTTAACTGCCCAATACATGGTGGTGGAATGGACACATCAAGACATGGTGGAATGGACACATCAAGACATGGCGGAATGGACACATCAAGACATGGTGGAATGGACACATCAAGACATGGTGGAATGGACACATCAAGACATGGTGGAATGGACACGTCAAGACATGGCGGAATGGACACATCAAGACATGGCGGAATGGACACATCAAGACATGGTGGAATGGACACATCAAGACATGGTGGAATGGACACATCAAGACATGGTGGAATGGACACATCAAGACATGGTGGAATGGACACATCAAGACATGGTGGAATGGACACATCAAGACATGGTGGAATGGACACATCAAGACATGGTGGAATGGACACGTCAAGACATGGTGGAATGGACACATCAAGACATGGTGGAATGGACACATCAAGACATGGTGGAATGGACACATCAAGACATGGTGGCGGAATGGACACGTCAAGACATGGTGGAATGGACACATCAAGACATGGTGGAATGGACACGTGGCAGCAGGTAGCTTAGTGGTTAAGAGCGTTGTGCCAGTAACCGAAAGGTCGCTGGTTCTAATCCCCGAGCCGACTACGTGAAAAATCTGTCGATGTGCCCTTGAGCAAGGCACTTAACCCTAATTGCTCCTGTAAGTCGCTCTGGATAAGACACACATATCAATACATGGTGGTGGGAATGGACACATATCAATACATGGTGGTGGGAATGGACACATATCAATACATGGTGGTGGGAATGGACACATATCAATACATGGTGGTGGGAATGGACACATATCAATACATGGTGGTGGGAATGGACACATATCAATACATGGTGGTGGGAATGGACACATATCAATACATGGTGGTGGGAATGGACACGTATCAATACATGGTGGTGGGAATGGACACGTATCAATACATGGTGGTGGGAATGGACACGTATCAATACATGGTGGTGGGAATGGACACGTATCAATACATGATGGTGGGAATGGACACGTATCAATACATGGTGGTGGGAATGGACACGTATCAATACATGGTGGTGGGAATGGACACATATCAATACATGGTGGTGGGAATGGACACATATCAATACATGGTGGTGGGAATGGACACATATCAATACATGGTGGTGGGAATGGACACATATCAATACATGGTGGTGGGAATGGACACATATCAATACATGATGGTGGGAATGGACACATATCAATACATGGTGGTGGGAATGGACACATATCAATACATGGTGGTGGGAATGGACACATATCAATACATGGTGGTGGGAATGGACACATATCAATACATGATGGTGGGAATGGACACATATCAATACATGATGGTGGGAATGGACACATATCAATACATGATGGTGGGAATGGACACATATCAATACATGATGGTGGGAATGGACACGTATCAATACATGATGGTGGGAATGGACACATATCAATACATGGTGGTGGGAATGGACACATATCAATAAATGATGGTGGGAATGGACACATATCAATACATGGTGGTGGGAATGGACACATATCAATACATGGTGGTGGGAATGGACACATATCAATACATGGTGGTGGGAATGGACACATATCAATACATGGTGGTGGGAATGGACACATATCAATACATGGTGGTGGGAATGGACACATATCAATACATGGTGGTGGGAGGAATGGACACATATCAATACATGGTGGTGGGAATGGACACATATCAATACATGGTGGTGGGAATGGACACATATCAATACATGGTGGTGGGAATGGACACATATCAATACATGGTGGTGGGAATGGACACATATCAATACATGGTGGTGGGAATGGACACATATCAATACATGGTGGTGGGAATGGACACATATCAATACATGGTGGTGGGAATGGACACATATCAATACATGGTGGTGGGAATGGACACATATCAATACATGGTGGTGGGAATGGACACATATCAATACATGGTGGTGGGAATGGACACATATCAATACATGGTGGTGGGAATGGACACATATCAATACATGGTGGTGGGAATGGACACATATCAATACATGGTGGTGGGAATGGACACATATCAATACATGGTGGTGGGAATGGACACATATCAATACATGGTGGTGGGAATGGACACATATCAATACATGGTGGTGGGAATGGACACATATCAATACATGGTGGTGGGAATGGACACATATCAATACATGGTGGTGGGAATGGACACATATCAATACATGGTGGTGGGAATGGACACATATCAATACATGGTGGTGGGAATGGACACATATCAATACATGGTGGTGGGAATGGACACATATCAATACATGGTGGTGGGAATGGACACATATCAATACATGGTGGTGGGAATGGACACATATCAATACATGGTGGTGGGAATGGACACATATCAATACATGGTGGTGGGAATGGACACATATCAATACATGGTGGTGGGAATGGACACATATCAATACATGGTGGTGGGAATGGACACATATCAATACATGGTGGTGGGAATGGACACATATCAATACATGGTGGTGGGAATGGACACATATCAATACATGGTGGTGGGAATGGACACATATCAATACATGGTGGTGGGAATGGACACATATCAATACATGGTGGTGGGAATGGACACATATCAATACATGGTGGTGGGAATGGACACATATCAATACATGGTGGTGGGAATGGACACATATCAATACATGGTGGTGGGAATGGACACATATCAATACATGGTGGTGGGAATGGACACATATCAATACATGGTGGTGGGAATGGACACATATCAATACATGGTGGTGGGAATGGACACATATCAATACATGGTGGTGGGAATGGACACATATCAATACATGGTGGTGGGAATGGACACATATCAATACATGGTGGTGGGAATGGACACATATCAATACATGGTGGTGGGAATGGACACATATCAATACATGGTGGTGGGAATGGACACATATCAATACATGGTGGTGGGAATGGACACATATCAATACATGGTGGTGGGAATGGACACATATCAATACATGGTGGTGGGAATGGACACATATCAATACATGGTGGTGGGAATGGACACATATCAATACATGGTGGTGGGAATGGACACATATCAATACATGGTGGTGGGAATGGACACATATCAATACATGGTGGTGGGAATGGACACATATCAATACATGGTGGTGGGAATGGACACATATCAATACATGGTGGTGGGAATGGACACATATCAATACATGGTGGTGGGAATGGACACATATCAATACATGGTGGTGGGAATGGACACATATCAATACATGGTGGTGGGAATGGACACATATCAATACATGGTGGTGGGAATGGACACATATCAATACATGGTGGTGGGAATGGACACATATCAATACATGGTGGTGGGAATGGACACATATCAATACATGGTGGTGGGAATGGACACATATCAATACATGGTGGTGGGAATGGACACATATCAATACATGGTGGTGGGAATGGACACATATCAATACATGGTGGTGGGAATGGACACATATCAATACATGGTGGTGGGAATGGACACATATCAATACATGGTGGTGGGAATGGACACATATCAATACATGGTGGTGGGAATGGACACATATCAATACATGGTGGTGGGAATGGACACATATCAATACATGGTGGTGGGAATGGACACATATCAATACATGGTGGTGGGAATGGACACATATCAATACATGGTGGTGGGAATGGACACATATCAATACATGGTGGTGGGAATGGACACATATCAATACATGGTGGTGGGAATGGACACATATCAATACATGGTGGTGGGAATGGACACATATCAATACATGGTGGTGGGAATGGACACATATCAATACATGGTGGTGGGAATGGACACATATCAATACATGGTGGTGGGAATGGACACATATCAATACATGGTGGTGGGAATGGACACATATCAATACATGGTGGTGGGAATGGACACATATCAATACATGGTGGTGGGAATGGACACATATCAATACATGGTGGTGGGAATGGACACATATCAATACATGGTGGTGGGAATGGACACATATCAATACATGGTGGTGGGAATGGATTCCCAGTACTGGCCTGGACATGGCGGTGGGACACATCATTACATAGTGGTAGAATGGACACATATATTAGCCTGTACGATACATTTTCCACTCCATGTAGGGTCTATGTAAAGTCAAGTGCACAGGACAGGTGGTGGACGGGAATACCACAGTACCTGTTCCGTAGGGTCTGGCTCCTGCTGTCTTTATGTTCAGGTTAACAGGAGCCACTCCATACGTTCTACAACAACAAAACCAGACATGTCAACAACAACATCACAATACAACGCTACAGCGTCAAAGGCTGTGAAATACAATAGATGAATTCAGGCTCCTCAGTTGTACTTGAGACCCCTTATCTGGGAATAATAAGGTCAGATCGGCTTAGACATTACGGGTGAACTATCCCTTTAAAGACATTATGGGAGAACTATCCCTTTAAAGACAGTAGGGTGAACTATCCCTTTAAAGACAGCAGGGTGAACGATCCCTTTAAAGACAGTAGGGTGAACTATCCCTTTAAAGACAGTAGGATGAACTATCACTTTAAAAGACACATACGTGTACTGTGGGGCTCCGGTCTTGATGTCTCCGATGGTGACACGAACATCATCGTCATCATCGTCACTGTCGCTATCACTGTCATCATCATCTCCTGGCTCCTTCTCCTGAGAGAGAGAGGGGGAGAAGAGCGAGAGATGGAAAAAGAGACAGAGATGAAAAAAAGACAGAGAGACCTGAAACCACATCAGAACCCATCTCCTCCACACATAACACAGCACAGCCTGGAGTGTTTCCAGACCAAGTGAAACTCCAGGCCGTACTTAAAAACACAAAGCCCAAGTCATCCCGCCTCGCACATACAACGATAGGAGAAACACTGCAGATCGGTCCCAAATGGCACCCTATACCCTTTATAGTGCACTACTCCGGTCAAAAGTAGTGCACTACAGGGGAATAGGGTGCCTTTTGGGACCGACTGGAGCAGAGGTCTTACCTGAGCTTCCACTCCGTTGCCCGTAGTAACCGCCTCATCTGACTCTGGAGCAGGAGCACTGAGGATGGAAATATCATCAACACATTCAGACTGGAGCACCGAGGATGGAAATATCATCAACACATTCAGACTGGAGCACTGAGGATGGAAATATCATCAACACATTCAGACTGGAGCACTGAGGATGGAAATATCATCAACACATTCAGACTGGAGCACTGAGGATGGAAATATCATCAACACATTCAGACTGGAGCACTGAGGATGGAAATATCATCAACACATTCAGACTGGAGCACTGAGGATGGAAATATCATCAACACATTCAGACTGGAGCACTGAGGATGGAAATATCATCAACACATTCAGACTGGAGCACTGAGGATGGAAATATCATCAACACATTCAGACTGGAGCACTGAGGAAACATCATCAACACATTCAGACTGGAGCACTGAGGATGGAAATATCATCAACACATTCAGACTGGAGCACCGAGGATGGAAATATCATCAACACATTCAGACTGGAGCACTGAGGATGGAAATATCATCAACACATTCAGACTGGAGCACTGAGGATGGAAATATCATCAACACATTCAGACAGGAGCACTGAGGATGGAAATATCATCAACACATTCAGACTGGAGCACTGAGGATGGAAATATCATCAACACATTCAGACTGGAGCACTGAGGATGGAAATATCATCAACACATTCAGACTGGAGCACTGAGGATGGAAATATCATCAACACATTCAGACTGGAGCACTGAGGATGGAAATATCATCAACACATTCAGACTGGAGCACTGAGGATGGAAATATCATCAACACATTCAGACTGGAGCACTGAGGATGGAAATATCATCAACACATTCAGACTGGAGCACTGAGGATGGAAATATCATCAACACATTCAGACTGGAGCACTGAGGATGGAAATATCATCAACACATTCAGACTGGAGCACTGAGGATGGAAATATCATCAACACATTCAGACTGGAGCACTGAGGATGGAAATATCATCAACACATTCAGACTGGAGCACTGAGGATGGAAATATCATCAACACATTCAGACTGGAGCACTGAGGATGGAAATATCATCAACACATTCAGACTGGAGCACTGAGGATGGAAATATCATCAACACATTCAGACTGGAGCACTGAGGATGGAAATATCATCAACACATTCAGACTGGAGCACTGAGGATGGAAATATCATCAACACATTCAGACTGGAGCACTGAGGATGGAAATATCATCAACACATTCAGACTGGAGCACTGAGGATGGAAATATCATCAACACATTCAGACTGGAGCACTGAGGATGGAAATATCATCAACACATTCAGACTGGAGCACTGAGGATGGAAATATCATCAACACATTCAGACTGGAGCACTGAGGATGGAAATATCATCAACACATTCAGACTGGAGCACTGAGGATGGAAATATCATCAACACATTCAGACTGGAGCACTGAGGATGGAAATATCATCAACACATTCAGACTGGAGCACTGAGGATGGAAATATCATCAACACATTCAGACTGGAGCACTGAGGATGGAAATATCATCAACACATTCAGACTGGAGCACTGAGGATGGAAATATCATCAACACATTCAGACTGGAGCACTGAGGATGGAAATATCATCAACACATTCAGACTGGAGCACTGAGGATGGAAATATCATCAACACATTCAGACTGGAGCACTGAGGATGGAAATATCATCAACACATTCAGACTGGAGCACTGAGGATGGAAATATCATCAACACATTCAGACTGGAGCACTGAGGATGGAAATATCATCAACACATTCAGACTGGAGCACTGAGGATGGAAATATCATCAACACATTCAGACTGGAGCACTGAGGATGGAAATAGCATCAACACATTCAGACTGGAGCACTGAGGATGGAAATATCATCAACACATTCAGACTGGAGCACTGAGGATGGAAATATCATCAACACATTCAGACTGGAGCACTGAGGATGGAAATATCATCAACACATTCAGACTGGAGCACTGAGGATGGAAATATCATCAACACATTCAGACTGGAGCACTGAGGATGGAAATAGCATCAACACATTCAGACTGGAGCACTGAGGATGGAAATATCATCAACACATTCAGACTGGAGCACTGAGGATGGAAATATCATCAACACATTCAGACTGGAGCACTGAGGATGGAAATATCATCAACACATTCAGACTGGAGCACTGAGGATGGAAATATCATCAACACATTCAGACTGGCGCACTGAGGGTGGAAATATCATCAACACATTCAGACTGGAGCACTGAGGATGGAAATATCATCAACACATTCAGACTGGAGCACTGAGGATGGAAATATCATCAACACATTCAGACTGGAGCACTGAGGATGGAAATATCATCAACACATTCAGACTGGAGCACTGAGGATGGAAATATCATCAACACATTCAGACTGGCGCACTGAGGATGGAAATATCATCAACACATTCAGACTGGAGCACTGAGGATGGAAATATCATCAACACATTCAGACTGGAGCACTGAGGATGGAAATATCATCAACACATTCAGACTGGAGCACTGAGGATGGAAATATCATCAACACATTCAGACTGGAGCACTGAGGATGGAAATATCATCAACACATTCAGACTGGAGCACTGAGGATGGAAATATCATCAACACATTCAGACTGGAGCACCGAGGATGGAAATATCATCAACACATTCAGACTGGAGCACTGAGGATGGAAATATCATCAACACATTCAGACTGGAGCACCGAGGATGGAAATATCATCAACACATTCAGACTGGAGCACTGAGGATGGAAATATCATCAACACATTCAGACTGGAGCACTGAGGATGGAAATATCATCAACACATTCAGACTGGATCACTGAGGATGGAAATATCATCAACACATTCAGACTGGAGCACTGAGGATGGAAATATCATCAACACATTCTGACACATCCTGTAGACAATACAACTGAGAAGTGGAGACAACTCAGTAACACGTTTAGACACAAACGGGTGGAAACTCACCTGACAGCTGCGGTTAGTTTGGCCTCTTCCTCCTCAGCTTTCTCATCATCATCTAGAAGGGAAACGACCATTCATTAACTAACGGTTAAAGGTCAACAATAAGTCACATATTACAATATCTACCTAGTTATATAACTTACATAGCTAGCAAGGTAGCCACGCTTGTTCTTTCAGATGATAAATGCAAACTAACCATTCTGCAAGTAGCTAGCTAGCTAACGTTATATCCAATGCTTCTGTCCATTGTATTTTCCACATAACGGTAGCTAGCTGGCTAACTACAAACTGAGCAAAGTGCAATCCTGAAGGATATGCTGTAACGTTGGCTTGATTGCATGTTTACAATGAAGCTAGGCCAAGACACATGCAGCACCACGGCTTATGCGTTAGCTAGCTACAGTAACTACTTTGCTAATTAGCTAGCAAATGTGCTAACGCTTTGCAATTGTAGCTAGTTGCATGTGGCTTAGTTATAACTCGAACAACTTAGCTAATGTTTTATTCATTGTAACACCTCTTTACCTCCGTAGAGCCACTCTTCTTCCTCGTCTCCGGCTTCTCCGGCATCTCCCGCACTCGCGTCGGCCGGGGTTGTTTTGTCTGCCGCTTCTTCCGCAGACATCTTCTTTAGCAAGTGGTAAGAAAGTGCCTTTCACGAAGATCGCAACTCTGTTTTCCAGCTAGCTAGCTAGCTAACGAAACAACCCGGATAGTAGTAAACGCACAAGACAAAGTTTCAAAACAGCACAAGTCGACATAAATTATTGTACTATCTTGAAACGCGGAAAATATCCACTTCATACATTTTGATCTCGACGAGCGAGCGGCGGACAGTGTGCCCGGAAGTAATCGTTCTACAGAGGGCACTCGAACTGTGTTCCTATTGGTCTAGCGAACTGTGTTCCTATTGGTCTAGCGAACGGTGTTCCTATTGGTCTAGCGAGAATCTGTTCGCGGACGTCAAAATCGTACGGTTCATGCGCATTTGGCGCGCGAAGTCGAATGGAGTAACGTTTTATAGACGCAAGAGGGCGACATAATATCAATCATATTTTTTGGGGGGGGGACGTCGCATGAAGTTGTTTTTATTATTGAAGGACAACGCAGCACACCACTCCCTCCCTGGAATACATCTCCTTGTTATTTTGTTTCATCACAACAATTATGTGTTGATAAATACACCATTGGTGACTACATTGTGGACAATCTATTCTGCTATTGTTGTATACGCTATACCCGTATGCTAATCCTGTATACACTTTTTATAGCGTCCCACACAAACATGCAAGACTCCCTTTATAGACTGTAGCTGTTCTCCCCTGCCCTGACACCAGTGTTAGTAACAGACATAGGAAGGCATAGAGACGACATAGAGACTACATAAGGAGACATAGTGAGACCAGGTACTTAGGCCAGGTGTTAGTCAGACAGTCAGAGACACAGAAAGAATACATTGAGACTACATTATAAACCATAAGGGATACATAGAGACTACATTAGAAGACCTAGACTACATTAGAAGCCATAAGGGATACATAGACTACATTAGAAGCCATAAGGGATACATAGACTACATTAGAAGCCATAAGGAATACATAGACTACATTAGAAGACATAAGGGATACATAGACTACATTAGAAGACATAAGGAATACATAGACTACATTAGAAGACATAGACTACATTAGAAGCCATAAGGGATACATAGACTACATTAGAAGCCATAAGGAATACATAGACTACATTAGAAGACATAAGGGATACATAGACTACATTAGAAGACATAAGGGATACATAGACTACATTAGAAGCCATAAGGGATACATATACTACATTAAAAGACATAAGGAATACATAGACTACATTAGAAGCAGTAAGGGATACATATACTACATTAAAAGACATAAGGAATACATAGACTACATTAGAAGCCATAGACTACATTAGAAGCCATAAGGGATACATAGACTACATTAGAAGCCATAAGGGATACATAGACTACATTAGAAGCCATAAGGGATACATAGACTACATTAGAAGCCATAAGGGATACATAGACTACATTAGAAGACATAGACTACATTAGAAGCCATAAGGGATACATAGACTACATTAGAACCCATAAGGGATACATAGACTACATTAGAAGCCATAAGGGATACATAGACTACATTAGAAGCCATAAGGAATACATAGACTACATTAGAAGCCATAAGGAATACATAGACTACATTAGAAGCCATAAGGGATACATAGACTACATTAGAAGCCATAAGGGATACATAGACTACATTAGAAGACATAAGGAATACATAGACTACATTAGAAGCCATAAGGGATACATAGACTACATTAGAAGCCATAAGGGATACATAGACTACATTAGAAGCCATAAGGGATACATAGACTACATTAGAAGCCATAAGGAATACATAGACTACATTAGAAGCCATAAGGGATACATAGACTACATTAGAAGACATAGACTACATTAGAAGACATAAGGGATACATAGACTACAGTTAAAGTCGGAAGTTTACATACACTTAGGTTGGAGTCATTAAAAGTAGTTTTTCAACCACTCCACACATTCTTTGTTAACAAACTATAGTTTTGGCAAGTCGGTTAGGACATCTACTTTGTGCATGACACAAGTAATTTTTCCAACAATTGTTTACAGACATATAATTTCACTTATAATTCACTGTATCACAATTCCAGTGGGTCAGAAGTTTACATACAGTAAGTTCACTGTGCCTTTAAACAGCTTGGAAAATTCCAGAAAATGATGTCATGGCTTTAGAAGCTTCTGATAGGCTAATTGACATCATTTGAGTCAAGGTGTACCTGTGGAGGTATTTCAAGGCCTACCTTCAAACTCAGTGCCTCTTTGTTTGACATCATGGGAAAATCAAAAGACCTCAGAAAAATAATTGTAGACCTCCACAAGTCTGGTTCATCCTTGGGAGCAATTTCCTAATGCCTGAAGGTACCACGTTCATCTGTTCAAACAATAGTACGCAAGTATAAACACCATGGGACCACGCAGCCGTCATACTGCTCAGGAAGGAGACGCGTTCTGTTTCCTAGAGATTAACGTACTTTGGTGCGAAAAGTGCAAATCAATCCCAGAACAACAGCAAAGGACCTTGTGAAGATGCTGGAGGAAACAGGTACAAAAGTATTTATATCCACAGTAAAACGAGTCCTATTTCGACATAACCTGAAAGGCCGCTTAGCAAGGAAGAAGCCACTGCTCCAAAACTGCCATAAAAAAGCCAGACTACGGTTTGCAACTGCACATGGGGACAAAGATCGTACTTTTATGAGAAATATCCTCTGGTCTGATTAAACAAATGTATAACTGTTTGGCCATAATGCCATCGTTATGTTTGGAGGAAAAAGGGGGTAGCTTGCAAGCCGAAGAACACCATCCCAACCGTGAAGCAAGGGGGTGGCGGCATCATGCTGTGGGGGTGCTTTGCTGCAGGAGGGACTGGTGCACTTCACAAAATAGATGGCATCATGAGGAAGGAAAATGATGTGGATATATTGAAGCAACATCTCAAGACATCAGTCAGGAAGTTATAGCTTGGTCGCAAATGGGTCTTCCAAATGGACAATGACCCCAAGCATACTTCCAAAGTTGTGCCAAAAATGGCTTAAGGACAACAAAGTCAAGGTATTTGAGTGGCCATCACAAAGCCCTGACCTCAATACTATAGAACATGTGTGGGCAGAACTGAAAAAGTGTGTGTGAGCAAGTTACACCAGCTCTGTCAGGAGGAATGGACCAAAATTCACCCAATTTATTGTGGGAAGCTTGTGGAATTGGCCACACCTAATGTTTTTGCCATCTCTCTGATGGGTTTGTTTTACTTTTTCAGCTTTATGATGTCTTGCTTCACTGGCAGTGACAGCTCTTTGGACTTCATATTGAGGGTTAACGGCAACAGATTCCAAATGCAAATGCCTGAAACTTGAAATCAACTCTAGACCTTTTTATCTGCTTCCTTGTAAATGAACTAATGTGGGAATAACACACACCTGGTCATGGAACAGCTGAGCAGCCAATTGTCCAATTACTTTTCAGTTCATATTCATTATTCAAAATGTCAACTCCAACATGCTGTGGTAGACAGCTGAACTACTAATAACTTGGTCAATGTCCAAATATCTATGGACCTGACAGTAAGTATTCAGACCCTTTACTCAGTAGTATGTTGAAGCACCTTTGGCAGCGATTGCAGCCTTGGGTATGACGCTACAAGCTTGGCACACCTGTGTTTGGGGAGTTTCTCCCATTCTTCTCTGCAGATCCTCTCAAGCTCTGTCAGGTTGGATGGGGAGCGTCGCTGCACAGCTATTTTCAGGTCTCTCCAGAGATGTTCGATCGGGTTCAAGTCTGGGCTCTGGCTGGGCCACTCAAGGACACTCCAAGACTTGTCCCTGAAGCCACTCCTGCGTTGTCTTGTCTGTGTGCTTAGGGTCGTTGTACTGTTTGGAAGGTGAACCGCCCCATTCTGAGGTCCTCTGGAGCAGGTTTTCATCAAGGATTTCTCTGTACTTTGCTCCTGTCGTCTTTCCCTCGATCCTGACTAGTCTCCCAGTTCCTGCTGCTGAAAAACATCCCACAGGTTTCCTCCAGACGTGACGCTTGGGAATCTTGTTTCTCATGATCTGAAAGTCCTGTCGTGCATTTTACTGAGGAGTGGCTTCCATCTGGCCATTCTACCATAAAGGCCTGATTGGTGGAGTCCTTCTGGAAGGTTCTCCCATCTCCACAGAGGAACTCTGGAGCTCTGTCAGAGTGACCATCGGGTTCTTGGTCACCTCCCTGACCAAGGCCCTTCTCCCCAGATTGCTCAGTTTGGCCGGGCGGCCAATACATAAAGGCTACATTACAAGCCATAAGGGATACATAGAGACTACATAGGCATACATAAGGAATACATAGGGTGACATGGGTAGTGTGACCATGCTGGCGGTGTGTTACTGTATTCTACAGTCTTCTATCAGGGTAGTGTGACCATGCATAGCCTGCATATTTGCAGTGTTGACCCTTCTTTTTCAAGACCTCTGCAATCCGCCCTGGCATGCTGTCAATTAACGTCTGGGTCACATCCTGACTGATGGCAGGCCATTCTTGCATAATCAAATCAAATCAAATTTTATTGGTCACATGCGCCGAATACAACAGGTGCAGACATTACAGTGAAATACTTACTTACAGCCCTTAACCAACAGTGCATTTATTTTTTACAAAAAAAGTAAAAATAAAACAACAACAAAAAAAGTGTTGAGAAAAAAAGAGCAGAAGTAAAATAAAATAACAGTAGGGAGGCTATATATACAGGGGGGTACCGGTGCAGAGTCAATGTGCGGGGGCACCGGCTAGTTGAGGTAGTTGAGGTAATATGTACATGTGGGTAGAGTTAAAGTGACTATGCATAAATCATTAACAGAGTAGCAGCAGCGTAAAAAGGATGGGGTGGGGGGGCAGTGCAAATAGTCTGGGTAGCCATGATTAGCTGTTCAGGAGTCTTATGGCTTGGGGGTAGAAGCTGTTGAGAAGTCTTTTGGACCTAGACTTGGCACTCCGGTACCGCTTGCTGTGCGGTAGCAGAGAGAACAGTTTATGACTAGGGTGGCTGGAGTCTTTGACAATTTTGAGGGCCTTCCTCTGACACCGCCTGGTATAGAGGTCCTGGATGGCAGGAAGCTTGGCCCCAGTGATGTACTGGGCCGTACACACTACCCTCTGTATTGCCTTGCGGTCGGAGGCCAAGCAGTTGCCATACCAGGCGGTGATGCAACCAGTCAGGATGCTCTCGATGGTGCAGCTGTAGAATTTTTTGAGGATCTGA